CCTTTGTAACCCAAGAACTCTCACTAATAAATAAGCACCACCAGGCACCAAAGTTCAAGGAAAAACATGTGGGAGAGAAAATTTGATTCATCAATTACTTTTTGTTTTCCTGCAAATTTGAAAGGAGTCCCCACATTTCTTTTATCAGTAGATCACTCTGTTCTAGTCGTTCTTTGGAAGCACAGTTTGAAAACTGCTGCTATAAAACCCATCTTTGTTACTTGAAAGATGACCTTCCGTCTTTCACTTGCTGCAAAAGGGCACTGAGTACTAGAAACCAGAAAGCATCTGTACGAACCTGGAGCACCCAAGCTAGCATCCTGTTAAAGTTAGGACAATAGGCTTATTTCCTCTTACAACAGCATACTGAGCATTCAGGTTTCAAAATGATTTACTTACTGTCATAGTTTTACTAAGACAGTGATCCAAGGATCCTGCCAGTAAAGTCCAACCTTTACTCTAGTGCCGCAGCAAACAAAGAGAAGAAAAAGTAACAAGATAACCATTAAAAGCTGGGAAAGTAAGGAAAACTTGCACTAAGGAAGTTCAAAACATTCCTCCAACAGTTTCTTAACCTCAGCACTACTGACATTTGGGGCTGGGTTATCCTTTTTGAGGGATACTGTCCTGCATGTTGTATGACACTTAGCCCCAAACCTGGAGGCTCCCCACTAGTTGCCAGTAGCACCCCACCCCAGTTGTGACACCCAAGTATGTGTCTCCAGACATCACCAAATGTCCCCAGAAGTGAGGGGGTAGGGGAGGCAAAAGTGCCCTGGTTGACAACCGCTACTCTATCAGCAGGAGAAAAAGGACTGCACAAAAAAAGAAAAAGATATAAGTGGCAGCTAGAGAAGTTTCTTAAAGCTTACCAAGATTGGACCAGTCAACGTCTTTCATTCTGGAAAACGAAAATCCAACCATAACAACCATCTAGCTCATCCAAAACCAAAACTCCGTTTACCTGGCAAGCTCCTAAAGCTGAAATCAATGTGGTTAGAATCCGAATTGAAAATCTTACAAACAAAATTGTTAGGAACTTAAAGAAGTTTTAGGACGATAAAAGTACATGCAAAGACATACTAAGTGCTTTCTGAGACCTCAAGGCAAATTATCTCAACATGGCAAATTGGTTTTATCTCCTCTGCCAACTGGTAGTGGCTGATCAACAGGCTGTTCAACAGGATTCTGAGGCTGAATGTGAGCTCAAGAAGAGCAGAGAAGAGTATCTGCCTCGAATATCAAATCACCAGCAGGTGAGGGGGGCGTGGTGACAGGTGCATCCTCTTGCCTGGTGCTTCAACTTCCTTTGTGCTTCACAGGCAGGCGCAGTGTCTTCCCCACGTGACAGTGCCTGGCACGTGGTAGGCGAAGCACTTTGGTGGGCTGCCTACAAGGCAATCCCCTCCTTTACTCATCTCTTCTATTAAGGCAGGAAAACCCAAACACCACCTTCCTGCCTCCACGGCAGCCAGGGTGGTCAAGCGACATGATTATAGTTAATGAGATGTAAGTAGAAGCCTGTTGAGGGGGCTTCTGGAAGAACTTTTATTTCCCTAATGACTTCCTGGCTTGACTGGGTAGAAAACCCTGAGGTGACAAACATTAAGGACAAAAGGCCACTGATAGCTAAGGACAACAGAATGGAAACACAGAAATGGTCTGGGTCCTAGCTGGGCCCATAAAGCCACTGCACCACCTTAGAACCACCTACCTCCAGACTTCTTACAGGTGAGCTAATTCAACATCTTTATTGCTTAAGGCACCATCATTAGGGCTGCTTCTTTCTGGTGCGGAACGCATTCCTAACTGACTGAATAAACCTTCAACAGAGGGAGGTGAATGAATGAATGAATGCAAAGTGAAATCTACTAACGGTTCAGAAGATTACATTTTTTAAAAACAAGGCCTCAGGGTAGGGGTGGTGGTGTGATGAATTGGGAGATTGGGATTGACATATATACACTAATATGTATCAAATGGATAACTAATAAGAACCTGCTGTATAAAAAAATAAATAAAATAAAATTCAGGGAAAAAAAGGCCTCTAAGAACCTGTTCAACTTTGCCAAAGCATGCTTTTCTAGAATTATTGACCCAATTCTGTTACAGCTTTTTAATTGATAAAAAAGTAAACACAATCTCTTAAAAAGCAATGGAAATGTTCACATACAAAAATGCTGTAGAAATTGATTTTCACATTTTGGAAAAGAATGGAAAACCAAACTGAAAACACTAGGCTGTGACCTTGAAAAGTCTGCAACTGCTGTGGCTACCTGCAGGCACGTATAGGCAAAAAGAAAAAGACCGATAGTAGCTGGCTGGCTGCCATTCCCTCCTACTTTCTTATTTTGAGATCTCTGACATGAATCTCTTTTTTTCCAGTCCCTATCCCAGTCAAGTATTTCCATTCAAATTTCCAAGATCAAACAACAACCATTTTTTTCTTTTTGAGAAAAACAGGGTAGAACATAAATAAATATAAATAACATGTAAGTAAAATGTATTAAAAGGAGAGGAGTGGACCTTGGCAGTGTTGTTCCTCAGCAAGACAGTAGGTCCTCAACCAAGCTGATTCCCTTAGATAGCTGACCAATTTATATTTTAATCAAATCATTTACTCATACTTAAATAAGTGTATTTTAGAAAGAAACTTCATAGCACCAATGGACTGCCAGTACCATTTGCCATAAACAGAAGACAGGGCTTCCCTGGTGGTGCAGTGGTTAAGAATCCGCCTGCCAATACAAAGGGTTCGAGCCCTGGTCCGGGAAGATCCCACATGCTGCGGAGCAATTAAGCCCATGAGCCACAACTACTGAACCTGTGCTCTAGAGCCCGCACCTGCGAGCCACAACTACTGAGCCTGTGTGCCACAACTACTGAAGCCTGTGCAACTAGAGCCTGTGCTTCACAACAAGAGAAGCCCACGCACCGCAACAAAGAGTAGCCCCTGCTCGCTGCAACTAGAGAAAGCCCGCATGCAGCAACAAAGACCCAACGCAGCCAAAAATAAATAAATAAATTTATTTTAGAAAAGACAAATCCAATGAAGACATAACCTTATTAAATTCTAGCTACTGTTACCTATTCAGATCTCTAAACTTGAAGCTTATTCTCTATTTAAAAAAAAAAAAAAAAAAAAAAAAAGGGGGCTTCCCTGGTGGCACAGTGGTTAAGAATCTGTCCGCCAATGCAAGGGACACGGGTTCGAGCCCTGGCCCGGGAAGATCCCACATGCCATGGAGCAACTAAGCCCGTGCGCCACAACTACGGAGCCTGCGCTCAAGAGCCCGCGAGCCACAACTACTGAGCCTGCGTGCCGCAACTACTGAAGCCTGTGCACCTAGAGCCCATGCTCCACAACAAGAGAAGCCACTGCAATGGGAAGCCCACGCACTGCAACAAAGAGTAGGCCCCGCTCGCCGCAACTAGAGAAAGCCCGTGCACAGCAGGGGCAACCCAACACAGCCAAAAAATACATAAATAAAATAAATAAACAAATAAACAAAAAAAGGTGGGGGAGTGAGCAAGAGGTGTTAAAGACAAGCTAACCACCAAGCTGAGACTTTCTCTTGGGCATGATCAGGAGAGAAAGAGAACAGAAAAGGAATTAACTTTCTTATTGTGTGATTTCATTCTATTTAGTTCTATCTATATCCATTTTCCACCTAAAAGTATCCCTTATACAATCTCAAATCATCTTCCCCTTTTGCTTAGAGTAAGAGCCCATTTCCTTAGTACTACAGCCTAAATTTATGATCCTACACCACCTGGCCCCAGCCCACCACTCACACTCCTCTCTCAGCTCTCACGCACTCACAAGGACCCAAGGCCACATCTAGCCCACTGCCTGTTTCTATACGGCCTGTGAGCTACGAATGATTTGGAGAGATGAATGCTTGTAATCAATTTGACAACAGGGAACATTAATTTTGAACTCCAATTAAGTTAAACTTTGTACTCTCCAAAAAAACAGTCCCATGCTTCTCATTAGTAGACCTGTATTACAAAATATTGTACTCAATTATTATAATATTTTTATTGTAGGCAATAATAAATGTGTAGAAATGTGTCTTTTCTTGTTATATACATATCTACTTAATATCCTCGAGTTTGCATCTTGAACAGCAGAGCCTAAAACATTTGCTATGCAGCCCTTTACAGAAAGAGTTTGCCCATCCCGGAGCTACATTGCGGGTCAAGTACACCAGGCTCTTTCCCGTCTCAAGGTGTCCACACTTGCCTTACACCTGGGAACCGCTTTCCCCTGAGCTCCTCAAGGCTGGCCCTCCCTGTGGTTACTCAAGTCTCAGAACATCACCTCCTCCGAGAAGTCACCCTAACCCATGTAACGTACCCTACCAGCACAACAGTCACATCACCAGGTTTTACTTCCTTCAAACCACTGTCTGGTACCACCTCTTTAACTTGTTAAAGTTTTTAATACTAAAAATAATAATGGCAGCAAATACTCATAGCACTGCACACAATGGAAGCATTTTACATACCAGGTTGAACGCCATAAAAATGCCAATCTGTAAGTCAGAACGGTCAACAGTGGGTAACTTCATAGGGTTCAACCCAACATATCAACTTGTTAGCAGCTCACAATCACCTATGAGGTAGGTACCAGATGAGGAAATTGTGGCACAGAGAGGTAGAGTAACCTGCCCGAGGTCACACCGCTAGTAAGTGGCAGAACAAGGATTTGAACCCAAGCTCAACACTCCCACCCCCAAGAATGTAAGTTCCAGGATGGCAGACGGTCTTGCCCATTGTCCCATCCCTCTCCTGTGCCCATCAAAGGGCCCGCCACGTAGCAAGCCCTTACAAATGCCCGATGCATGAATGAGTGAATGACTGTTCCTCGCAATCAGCGCCATCTGCCCGGACTCGAGGCCCGCTCCTCTTTCCTTAGGCAACCAGAGCATCAGTCCTCTGGCCGCGACGGAAGCGGAGAAGGAAGCTCTGGGCAGGCGGGTGCCCCAGGGGCTCACCTTGAAGTCGCGGCTGTGCTGCGGGGTGTACTCCAGGGTCCAGAGGGCCCGCACCAGGTGCGCCAGCTGCTCGGTGACCTCACCCTGGCCCTGCGCGCCGCGCCCCGCGGGCTGCTCGGGGTCAGGCGAGGGCTCGGGCCGCCCCGCCCGGTACTGGCCGAGCGCCAGGTACTCGGCGAAGAGCTCGGTGTTGCTGAGGCACTGAAGCGTGGCGTTCATGAAGCACGTGTTGCCGTGGTTCCGGAGCCCCGCCACCCCGGGCACCGGCTCCGCGGCGCAGGCGGGCGGCGCGGGCGAGGCGGGCGGCGGCGGGCACGGCGGCGGCGTGGGCGCGGCCGTGGGCCCGGGCGGGAAGCAGCTGCGGAGGCCGCCGCGGTCCGGGGCGGCGCCCTCGGAGCTAAGGTGCGAGAGCGTGGACAGCGTCTTGAGGACGCGGCTCATGAAGCTACCCACCGAGCGCGCCGACGAGGGCGAGGAGGGCGCGGCCGGCCCGGGGCCCCCAGCGCCGCCGCCGCCGCCCGCGCGGCCGCTCCGGAACAGCCGCTTGCTGAAGGAGCGCTTCTCCTTCCCGCCCGCTGCCGCCGCCGGCGGCCCGGGCCCGGGCGCCGTTACCTTGGACATGGCGGTGGCCGCTGACGCTCATCACCGCGTCCGCCCGCCCGGCCCGCGTCCCCGCCACGGCCGCCGCCGCATCCCGCCGCGCCGCGCCTCACCGGGACGGGGGTCTCGATGCCCCGCACACCTCAGAGCGCCGCGGAGCTAGCAAGCGAGACGCGGCCGGCGGGGCGGGCGGGAGCGCGCGAGATCCGCCCAGCTGGGCCGCTCACGTGACCCGCCTCCCAGCTCCCCGCCCCGCGCTGAAGCCGCCGCGGCCGCCATGTTGACTCCGGGAACGGAGCTGCCTCCCCAGCCAGACGCGATGACTGGCGGCTCCGGGCGCGGTACTGCTCCGTGAAGCCCGAGGGAGGCCATGTCTAGTGTGGTCAAGGTCCAGGCGCCGCGGGGTATCGCTGGGCTAGCGCTGGGCTAGCGCTGGGTAGTGGATGCCCCGGCGTAGGACTCCGTCTTGACCTATCTGATGGTGGAGGCCTTGGGAAAGTGCAGGAATCAGGACGCCCCCTTACCATACTCTGGAAGAGGTGATGGACATGGCCCTGACCGATCCTGGGCAAGCCAGCCCCGCCAGGCTCCCGAGGGACCCCGATGGTCTGCTTGCCCACTCGAACGCCATCGCAGAGCCTGGCACGTTTCGGCCAGGCTTGTCTTCCAGGCGGCACTTTGGGGTCGCGGTGAAACTATATTATCAGAATACCTTCCTTTTCAGACCCCCCCTGAGCTCTACCATCATTCATTCATTCATTCATTCAACAGTTACTGTTAGTGCCAAGCACGGTCCTAGACGCTGGGAGTAAGACGAAGTGTGAAACTAACAGGGTTTCTGCGTGCTCTCTTGTTAGTGGATGCTGGTAATAGCCGCCGTTACAAGCATTGCGTTAAGCATGCAATCTCTCCTTCAATCTTCCATTCAATTCCTTTGAGATTGGTAGACTCTTACCCATTTCAAACCCTAGTATGTTTCAAAGCCCCTCGACTTGCCTTCTAAACAAAAGGTCACAGACCCACAAATATCAGGTGGTCCTATCAGCGAATGAAGAATTCTGGTGTTTCAATCATACTATTATTACTTTAAGTGACTTAGTGTTGCGGAGAATATAAGGAATGGCAGGGACTCTGGCAAATTGCAAATCAACATCCTTCTAAAGGGGGTGGCTGCCACTCAGCTCCAGCCAATTGTTCCCATGCAGAAATGAGGGCTCAGATCATCTGATTCTTTAAGAGAAGGTGGAAATCCTATTTTTAAATGTTGGTTCAATTAAAAAAGAAGAAAATAGTGCAAAAAAGTACATCTTTGTGCTGCCAAATCCACTGGTTTATGACCTCCTCTCTGTAGATTCTCCTCTTTGCTAACCCTTCGCCTGAGTCCTGGTTACTGCAGAACGGAGAAATCAGGGAAAGGAGAGCCTTTCCTCTTTTCAAAACATAAATCCCACCTTACACCGTATTTCAAAGTAAATGGCTTTTGCCTCTGACCTCCCACCCCGTAGTAAGCAGGACCCTTATGCTGACACCCAGTGGATTCTTTGCACTAGTCCCCAAATCACCTTGCAGACGTGTTTAAATTTTTTCAAATATGAAATTGTGGCGGAGGAAGGGACAAGGAAAGGAAGAGCTTTTGGTGAAATTTCAAACAGTTTGACAACATTTTATCACAATATTCAGCCATTATGCTGAAAGTTGGTTTGTTTTCTTGCTTGCTTGTTTCTAGTATATGGGAAGGGTCTTGGGGCTGTGGTCTCTCTGTAGATTTCAATCTGACTTGGGAGTTAGCCCCCAAGGTTTGCTTCCCGATGCTGCCTTTATTTATTTATTTATTTATTTATTTATTTTAGCACTTCTCCATTTTGGACTCATGTCCATAGCACCAGTCACACTTGCTCAAAATCCTCAAAAGACTGTCAGCTCTTAAGGCAGAGAGATTAGCTCTCTTTTGCTGACCGTAGATGCCCAGCACTGACCATGGCTCTAATAAATGTTTGGTTGAATGAATAAACTGTCTTAGAAGGAAACTGAGCATAGCAACAGCTTTTCATCCCTCACGTCTTATGCCCTGAGCCTATCTACAATTTCAGCCTCAGCTATAAACTGTGTAAGTCATTGCTGTGTGGCAGCCACCCACCACACCCCCACACACCCCCGCCACTTCAAAAGCCTGCTGTTTCTTTGCTTTTCTGCTTGAGGACTCTCCCTAATGCCAGGGAACTCAGTAGGTGGAGTGGAATTAATAAGCCCCCTCCCCTAAGCAGGGGCAACCTACAACCAGTGGGAAGTATCAGCTGGTGGAAAAACATCCCAGCCTCCCATCCTTTGGATGGACAACTGTGGGGTGCATCCAACAGAGTTCTTCACAGATTCTCCAGCAAGATTGAGCCCCAGTTGCCCTCCATAGTAACGAGTTCAATAATGCACCCTTTTCTAGATTTCTTTACTTCCCTGTCTCAGTCTTCCTACTCCCTCAGTCCTGCTTCCAGGATCACCTCCCAAACAGACTATCTGCACCCAGGTCTTTGTCTCAGGCTCTGATCTAAGGGGAACCCAAACTGAGACATTGAGTCACTTTAATTAGAACTGGGGAATTCAAACCCGGGACAGATCTGGGATTGGTTGAGATGGGGTTTTCTTTTAGCTGCTGCAAACAATCCTTGGCCTTCTCCACCAATGCACCTTGTCCACGTGACTGTCCTGACAGCTGCTTTCCAGAACATCATTCCTTCCTTTACATGCATGCCTGGAAGACAGTGGGTATTAACAAGAGTTCTTTTTTTTTAATTTTAAAAGGGAGAGTGGTCAAAGACCAGTGGAAATTTACCACCCTGCTCGTCTTCTTTATACTGGAGCCTTAGGCAAAATATGACCACATTGCCTGGGCCCTCCTTTCCATTTTCCTCGCTTGTCCGAGCCAGCTACTCAGCATCCCGTGGCTATCGTGTGCTTTGAAGAAATTAGGGCACCTTAGCACCTCCTTAGCACCACCACACAGCAGGGGCAAGCTATGGTTCACCACGCCCCTTTGAACATTGCCCCCTCCCCTAGCCCAGTACCACCTGGTTGTCACTCCCACCTTTTCCCACCAGCATGTAGCTGAAATCCAAAATGTAGTTGCTATAGTTCAGCAGTAATTGGAGGCTGGTTTCCTTGGTCACCAAAGTCCAGTAAAATACGGTTCCCTCTGATGTTACTCACATGGGAGTATCCTCCAATCACTGCTTCTAGTCCAGCATTATGGAATGTCTTGTTCTTCCCCCACACTCTCAGGCAATTTGATCCAGACCCATGAGCCTTTGCTCAAGATATATTCTCTAGGCCAGACACCTTTCCCTGGGCACTCCCCATCCTTAGAGTCTTATAAGTGTCACCTGCTCCAGGAGGTGTCCCTTCCGCAGGCTCTCTTGGCACCTCTCAGTCATGACACTAATTTTACCATATTGGAAGTCAGCTTACAATCTGTCACTTGCCCTAGGGTATAGACTTCAACCCAACAGACGCTCCTCTTACCCATTACTGGATAATTAGTAAGGTAGCCATTGTATAGCATATTGATTATTTGGCAGCAGTATAAACAACATCTGAAATCCTTAATAAGACATATGAACCCTCTTCCAAATCGGGCCCCTTTTACCATTCCACTCCAGGCTTATTGGTCCCCAAAGGGCTCCAAAGCCATCCTTTCCCAGCTTGACCAAAACAGGCTTGGAAAAGGATTCCTAGTTGGAGCGCTCAGATGGTCGTTCTTTAAGACCCACCCCAAACAACATTCTATAGTAAATCTTCCGCTCTCTATACCCACCCCTTACCCCCAAACTAGGGAAACGCAAATTAGAAACAACAGTGCAGTGAGTAGTGTCGTGATGTAAATTTGGTCCATCCCTGCAACTATCTCCTTAAGCTGACACCTTGGGCCAAAGGGTATGCAAATTTCATATTTTGACACCTATTGTGTCAAGCTCACCTCCAGAAAGGTTTTATCCTGTCAACGATGAATGGGGTGTGCACATTACCCAAACCCTAGACAGTACTGAGTTTTTCAGTCTTTTTCACATTGGCAAATACAATGAAAAAAAGATGGCGTATTAATGTACTTTTATCTGTAGGAGTGAAGTTGAACAACATGTTCTGGTCTTCTACCATCCAACATCTAAACAGACTTCCTTTTTGAAGAGGATACAAAATTAGGCAGGACAATTCAAACTCTATTATGAAAACTGAGCAGGGGATGGGGAAAAAGTATTTGCCTTCCCACCCCTGGAAGCTAGAGCCCAGGAAGATCACCTAAGAAAGACCAGTCAGATGCTCCCACCTGGACCTTGGCTCTGGGTGTATAGATACAAGCTTAGTTGGAGATAATTAGTGAATCTAGTGGCTCTATACTCAGCAGAAGGTCCAGTGGTGGCGGTGCCAGTGATGGTGGCAGTGAGTGTCCAGCTGGCTGCTCTAGTGGCAAGTTCTTACTGGTGTCTGCCTACCTGCGTTTCTGTCCAAGCCTGTTTCTCCAGCTCTGTTTATTCTGCGAGCTAACCTAATAGGCTTCCTATACATTTCTTTATTGCTGGAACTAACCAGTGTCAGTTTCCGTTGTTTGCAATCAAGAAAATGACTAGTAATGCCTTTTAGTTAGCAATTTGTATTTTTGCTGCTGTGATTTACCTGTACACATCATTTGCTTATTTTTTCTTTGGTGTGTTTCTTTTATAAATATTGATCAGTAAAAGTACTTTGTATATGAGTTATAAATATTGATCAGTAAAAGTACTTTGTATATGAGTTATAAATATTGATCAGTAAAAGTACTTTGTATATGAGTTATTCCTTGGTCTATGCAATTTCATTTGGTTATTTACCTTTTACCATATCTGCAGTATTTTTATATCAAATAGAGAATTTAAATTATTTTATATAGTCAGATTGATCAATTTTTTCTATAAAGATTTCTTTCTTTCTTTTTTTATTTATTTATTTTTTTAACATGCTTAGGAACTCCAAGATCATAAGAATACTCATCTGGGCTTCCCTGGTGGCGCAGTGGTTAAGAATCTGCCTGCCAATTCAGGGGACACGGGTTCGAGCCCTGGTCCAGGAAGATCACACGTACCGTGGAGCAACTAAGCCTGTGAGCCACAACTACTGAGCCTGCGCTCTAGAGCCCAGGAGCCACAACTA